GCTGCAAACAAGGTACAGGGAGAATAGAATCTCAAATCCTGCACACAGAGCAGGAAGTTACACAGGCTTTTATACATCCTTTCTTCAGCATACTTGTCCAATAGCAAGCTGCCTTAAGTATCCATATAGCCAGCCAATCCAGTTACCAGTTAGTTCCCTTGTTCTCTGTACCATCTGTTAAACGATACATAAAGCTGCTTTATTCAGCATTGTTCTTCCATATCTGCCCTGTTTGGCCTTGTTTAGTTTGAGGCAGTCTGACTTTGCAACATATTGTTGCAGATCCTCAGCATAACTGCTGTGAGTGCCTCCTGGCGGGGGGGGCCAAGGACACTTGGGCCTAGTACGCATAACTGGTGCGAGTGCCTCCAGGCGGGGGGGGAGGACACTTGGGCTGAGTGCGAGGGGGCTTCATCGACACTCGTGGTCTTCCATCCCCTAGAGTTACCTAGTGACCATGCCCCAGTGTCCCCAACAACTACTCCCTCCTTTGAGAACACTCAACAGCCTTGGCTCTGAGTTTTCTCACTTGGGCTACTTATTTCTTTACAATAGGACTTTGCATAAGCAATTTGTGATAGCCCTGAAGAGAATGACTCATTAACTTTTGCAAAAGGGTCCTGACACATGATACTGCACAGCATAATACCATTAATACAAGCAATACAGGAAAGAGAAGTTTCAATAACAAGCTAAATAAACCACCAAGCCAAAATGACAAACCCCAGCCTGAAAACAAGGTTTGCAACCAATTGCTCTCGGGGGCAGTATAGGCAACCTGTGCTCCGGCTCGGGCATGGGCCTCAGCCTGTACCACCTTTTCATAGATCTCATAACTGCTATCATTTACATATACACAACATCGGGGCCCGACGAGGGCACAACCCCCTCCTTGGGATGCCAAGAGATAGTCCAAAGCCAGCCTATTTTGGAGGGAAAATGTCCTGAGCTGCTGTACCTCTTTATTTAATGGTTTACTGCTGACCCTAAATCACTAACCGAGTCCTCTAACTTTAAAGCAACTTTCAAAGCCTTGGAAACAAGCAGGGAGAACTGGAGGTCCTGGTGATGTCAAGGAATTATGACGTGATTGGAATAACAGAGACTTGGTGGGATAACTCACATGACTGGAGTACTGTCATGGATGGTTATAAACTGTTCAGGAAGGACAGGCAGGGCAGAAAAGGTGGGGGAGTAGCACTGTATGTAAGGGAGCAGTATGACTGCTCAGAGCTCCGGTACGAAACTGCAGAAAAACCTGAGTGTCTCTGGATTAAGTTTAGAAGTGTGAGCAACAAGAGTGATGTAGTGGTGGGAGTCTGCTGTAGACCACCGGACCAGGGGGATGAGGTGGATGAGGCTTTCTTCTGGCAACTCACAGAAGCTACTAGATCACACGCCCTGGTTCTCATGGGTGACTTCAATTTTCCTGATATCTGCTGGGAGAGCACTACAGCAGTGCAGAGACAATCCAGGAAGTTTTTGGAAAGCGTAGGGGACAATTTCCTGGTGCAAGTGCTAGAGGAGCCAGCTAGGGGGGAGCTTTTCTTGACCTGCTGCTCACGAACTGGGAAGAATTAGTAGGGGAAGCAAAAGTGGATGGGAATCTGGGAGGCAGTGACCATGAGTTGGTTGAGTTCAGGATCCTGACACAGGGAAGAAAGGTAAGCAGCAGGATACGGACCCTGGACTTCAGGAAAGCAGACTTCGACTCCCTCAGGGAACGGATGGGTTCCTAACGGATGGGTTCCTGGGGGACTAACATGAAGGGGAAAGGAGTCCAGGAGAGCTGGCTGTATTTCAAGGAATCCCTGTTGAGGTTACAGGGACAAACCATCCCGATGTGTCGAAAGAATAGTAAATATGGCAGGCGACCAGCTTGGCTTAACGGTGAAATCCTAGCGGATCTTAAACATAAAAAAGAAGCTTACAAGAAGTAGAAGGTTGGACATATGACCAGGGAAGAGTATAAAAATATTGCTTGGGCATGTAGGAATGAAATCAGGAGGGCCAAATCACACCTGGAGCTGCAGCTAGCGAGAGATGTCAAGAGTAACAAGAAGGGTTTCTTCAGGTATGTTGGCAACAAGAAGAAAGCCAAAGAAAGTGTGGGCCCCTTAATGAATGAGGGAGGCAACCTAGTGACAGAGGATGTGGAAAAAGCTAATGTACTCAATGCTTTTTTTGCCTCGGTCTTCACGAACAAGGTCAGCTCCCAGACTGCTGCGCTGGGCATCACAACATGGGGAATAGATGGCCAGCCCTCTGTGGAGAAAGAGGTGGTTAGGCACTATTTAGAAAAGCTGGACGTGCACAAGTCCATGGGGCTGGACGAGTTGCATCCGAGAGTGCTAAAGGAATTGGCGGCTGTGATTGCAGAGCCATTGGCCATTATCTTTGAAAACTCGTGGCGAACGGGGGAAGTCCCGGATGACTGGAAGGCTAATGTAGTGCCAATCTTTAAAAAAGGGAAGAAGGAGGATCCTGGGAACTACAGGCCAGTCAGCCTCACCTCAGTCCCCGGAAAAATCATGGAGCAGGTCCTCAAAGAATCAATCCTGAAGCACTTACATGAGAGGAAAGTGATCAGGAACAGTCAGCATGGATTCACCAAGGGAAGGTCATGCCTGACTAATCTAATCGCCTTCTATGATGAGATTACTGGTTCTGTGGATGAAGGGAAAGCAGTGGATGTATTGTTTCTTGACTTTAGCAAAGCTTTTGCCACAGTCTCCCACAGTATTCTTGTCAGCAAGTTAAAGAAGTATGGGCTGGATGAATGCACTATAAGGTGGATAGAAAGTTGGCTAGATTGTTGGGCTCAACGGGTAGTGACCAATGGCTCCATGTCTAGTTGGCAGCCGGTGTCAAGTGGAGTGCCCCAGGGGTCGGTCCTGGGGCCGGTTTTGTTCAGTATCTTCATAAATGATCTGGAGGATGGTGTGGTTTGCACTCTCAGCAAATTTGCGGATGATACTAAACTGGGAGGAGTGGTAGATACGCTGGAGGGCAGGGATATGATACAGAGGGACCTAGACAAATTGGAGGATTGGGCCAAAAGAAATCTGATGAGGTTCAACAAGGACAAGTGCAGAGTCCTGCACTTAGGACAGAAGAATCCCATGCACTGCTACAGACTAGGGACCAAACGGCTAGGCAGCAGTTCTGCAGAAAAGGACCTAGGAGTTACAGTGGACGAGAAGCTGGATACGAGTCAACAGTGTGCCCTTGTTGCCAAGAAGGCCAATGGCATTTTGGGATGTATAAGTAGGGGCATAGTGAGCAGATCGAGGGACTTGATCCTCCCCCTCTATTCGACATTGGTGAGGCCTCATCTGGAGTACTGTGTCCAGTTTTGAGCCCCACACTACAAGAAGGATGTGGATAAATTGGAGAGAGTCCAGCGAAGGGCAACAAAAATGATTAGGGGTCTGGAACACATGACTTATGAGGAGAGGCTGAGGGAACTGGGATTGTTTAGTCTGCAGAAGAGAAGAATGAGGGGGGATTTGATAGCTGCTTTCAACTACCTGAAAGCGGGTTCCAAAGAGGATGGTTCTAGACTATTCTCAGTGGTAGAAGAGGATAGGACAAGGAGTAATGGTCTCAAGTTGCAGTGGGGGAGGTTTAGGTTGGATATTAGGAAAAACTTTTTCACTAGGAGGGTGGTGAAACACTGGAATGCGTTACCTAGGGAGGTGGTAGAATCTCCTTCCTTAGACATTTTTAAGGTCAGGCTTGACAAAGCCCTGGCTGGGATGATTTAATTGGGGATTGGTCCTGCTTTGAGCAGGGGGTTGGACTAGATGACCTCCTGAGGTCCCTTCCAACCCTTATATTCTATGATATCTCAAGTACCATTTGCAGCCTTACAGTATAGCGGCCTATGCATGCCATGGCTGGCCCGGTAAACAGTGGCGCTATTCCCAGTACAGAGCACCTTACAAGCTTCTTGGTTGTGAGGGAATTCTTTATATTGCCCTCCAATGCCGTAGTCAGTCGCCGCAGGGTCTTTTCTCGTGACTCAACAGGGGTATCTCGGGCATTTCTAATCTTTCCTTTGGGCAGTGTGGCAGTTATTGACAAATGAGGAACTCCATGAGCTATATAACAGCTACCTGTCCAGTTGGCTGGCAGTACCTTGTAAGCCTTTTGGCCACATACAAAATAGTGACCCTGTAGGGCCCAGTAAGGACTGTTTTTTAAGGGGATTCCTGGGATATTTAAGGCTGTTTTGGCTGCTTTTCCGAACAGTTCATATGCCCCTAAGGGGGCATCCCATCCTCCTGATTGGGTACAAGTGGGAGTGTTTCTGATTGTGCCGTTCAAATTACACTCGCCATAGGGACCACTACAAACCCACCATTGGCTTGTTACATTGGAGATATTAACTGGACGGCAAGTTATATTTCCAAACCCTTCTTTTGTGGTAAGATTATTCGTAAGAGTTTCCCTAAAAGGGGAGGAACCATTACACCCACACTGTTGGCCTCCCCTTTTGGTCTTTATCCAATACCCATCAGCCCACTGTGTAATAACACAGGAGCTCTTTCCCACAGGACGCCCATAGTGACCAGATTGGTTTCGGGTAAAAGAAAATACTCCCTCAGTGAGTACTGCAACTGAATACTCCTGGTCCTGATAGGTGGCTTGCTGTAAAGAGGTCTTGTTCCAGAACGGCGAGTCCATTCTTTCCTGCTCTTTGGTGGTGGCTAATTCTGCTAGGGTCAGGGGCAGCATGTCAAGGGGCATTCCCATTTTGGGGGGACAGTGGAATTGGAGCACATACCCAGCAATCAGTCTGGTTTGTTAAAGTAGCAACATGGTGCACAAGCGAAACAAAGGAGTTATGCTCCCGATATGCACAGTTTGGAAATAATATAGAGAATAACAATGTTACCCAATTAATTATCACCAGAGTCTTCCCAACCCAGGGTCTCCAGTACCTGGGTGGGCCCATTTAGGCATTAAGGTGCCCGCTATTTGTGTCTCTTAAACAGTAGCTTTAGCCCGAGATCGTCACTGGATGAGGAGTCAGCAGGTTGGACGGTCCACGGTTCCGCTGACGAGGGGGCGGGTACTGCCTTCAGACGAGAGTGATGGATCCAGTTCTTGTGTCCCTCGACCTTTGCTGCTGTATGGGAGATCAGCAGGACGGTATAGGGTCCTTTCCACTTTTCCTGGAGAGGCTCGTCTTTCCAGGTACGAACAAGCACAGAGTCGCCGGGCTGTAAGGAGTGGACGGGAGAGTCCAAGGGGAGAGGCTGGGAATCCTTGGTATACCTGTGAAGAGACAAGAGAACAGCAGACAGGGAACACACATACTGAGACAAAAAAACATTACCCAACTCCCATTCCCCTGACAGAACCGGGGTGCCATTCATAGGCCATGCCCTTCCAAACATAATTTCAAAGGGACTGAGCCCTAATCTACCCTTTGGGAGAATGCGGATATGGAGTAGGACAAGGGGCAAAGCATCAGGCCATCGCAGTGAGGCTTCTTGGCACACTTTTGAGAGATGCTGTTTAAGGGTCTGATTGGTACGCTCCACTACCCCACTGGCTTGCGGTCTCCAGGGCATATGGAGTTTCCAGGGGATCTGTAAGGCATTTGAGATGTTTTGGATGATTTTTGACGTGAAGTGTGTCCCGTTGTCAGATTCCATCCACAGGGGGAGTCCAAAGCGAGGAATGATCTCCTTAACAAACTTGAGGGCCACTGTTCTGGCAGTGCAATTACGGCATGGGAAGGCTTCTGGCCATCCGCTGAACCGATCCACTAAGACGAGGAGATATTTGAACACTTGAGTCCGGGAAAACTCAGTAAAATCTATTTGCCACACTTGTCTGGGGCCCGGAGTGGGTTCTAGGGCAGCTGGTGGCACAGGATGTCCCGGTCGGGGGTTATTCTTTTGGCAGACTAAGCAGTCCGCTTGTACCTGGGCAGCCAGGGGTCAGAGTCCAGATGTGATAAAGTATTTTCCCATTAGTTGGATAAATGCTTCCCTGCCAGCATGAGTGGTTTGATGTAGTTTCTGCAGCACCGGCCGGATCAGGCCCTTTGGTAGGAGGACCTTCCCTTCCGGGGAACGGAGCCATCCCTCCTTTTCCCGGAGACCGAGTTTGTCAGTTAGCCGTCTCTCCTCCCCAGAGTACTAAGGGGTTGGAAGCTCCCCTACTGATGGGCTAAGGGCATGCATATGGGCGTTCTCAGCCTGAGGGTATGGCAGGGTGGCAGCATGCTTAGCCTCTCTGTCTGCCCGGGCATTACCTCTGGCCACATCTTGATTCTCCCTTTGATAGGCTTTACAGTGTACCACCGCCACTTCCGAGGGGAGTTGTACGGCTTCTAGGAGCCAGAGGATTTGGGGCCCGTACTTGACTGGGGAGCCTTGGGCTGTCAGCATTCCCCTTTGCTTCCATAGGCCAGCATGAGCATGTAGCACCCCAGCATACTTTGAATCAGTAAAAATGTTGACCCGCTTTCCTTTTGACAGTTCAAGTGCACGGGTCAGGGCTATTAGTTCGGCAAGCTGGGCATGGGTCCCAGCAGGCAAACCTTCAGCTTCCACAGTGTCATGGAGGGTCACAACAGCATAACCTGCCCTCCTTTGCCCATCTATTACAGTACTGCTACCCTCAGTGTACCACTCATAATCTGCATTTGGGAGGGGTGCATCCTTTAAATCCAGACGGCTGGAGTACTGGGCATCTATGATCTCTAAACAGTCATGTTCCTGTTCCTCTGTTTCTGGCAAGAGGGTGGCTGGGTTAAGGGAGGGGCAAGGCTGTAAGGTGACTTCAGAGTTCTCTAACAGCTTAGCCTGATACCAAGCAATCCGAGCCTGGGTGAGCCAGAGCACCTCCCTTTGCATCCAATAAGGCTCGGACCATATGGGGAGTATAGATTTGCATAACCCCTCCCAATGTTAGCTTCTCAGCTTCCTCAAGCACTAGGGCAGTAGCTGCGACCGCCCGTAAACATGCCGGCCAACCCTTTGCAACCTGATCCAGTTGCTTAGAAAAATAAGCCACAGGACGTCTCCATGCTCCTAACAGTTGTGTGAGCACTCCTAGGGCCACCCCCTTTCGTTCATGTACATACAACTGAAATGGCTGAGAGAGATCCGGCAGGTCCAGAGCCCGGGCTTCCATCAAACTTCCTTTTCAAGATTTTAAATGCCCTGTCAGCCTCTGGGGTCCAACAGAAGGGGTCATGATCTGCTCCTTTTACACAGTCGTACAGGGGTTTAGCCCATAGTCCAAACTCTGGGATCCATATCCTGCAAAAGCCTGCCATACCCAGAAATGCCCTGAGCCACTTACGATTACTTGGGGTAGGAACTTGGCATATAGCTTCCTTCCTTTCATTTGAAAGAAAGTATCTTTCAGATCGAGGACTGAAAAATGGGTATACTGTCCCCCTATAGAAGCCAATAAGGTATACGGGTTAGGGACAAGAGGGTGCAGAGTCTTAACCCATTCATTGACTGCCCTTAGGTCCTGTTCCAGCCGATACGTGCCATCAGGCTTCCGTATGAGTAGAATGGGAGCGTTCCAGGCTGACACATTCCCAGAGAATACCATACATTAGGAATCGATCTATAGTTTCCTGTAAACCTTCTCTGGCTTCCCTCTTGATTGGATATTGTTTTACTTGCACTGGGCCTTTCCCTGGTATGAGCTGAATAGTAATGGGGGTCTGGTGGGTGGCCTTTCCTGGGATCCCTGATGCCCACATGAGGGGGTACACCTGGTCTTCCCACGGGCTCCATTCTGGGGCTTGCATAGCTGAGGGCTCAACTGCAAGGGTCATGATCCATGCATTCTCAGGGGGTAAGGTAAGGGTTATTTCATCCTCAGTAAAATGCAGGTTGGCACCGAGGCGACAAAGCAGATCCCGTCCCAGCAGAGGTGTTGGACACTCAGGGAGGTATACCAGCTTGTGGGATATAGTCCTGTTTCCCAAAGCACATTCCGCTGGGGCATACACTGGGCACTTGGTGTCTCTGCCTGTGGCTCCCACCACGGTAAGGGAATCTGCTACTGGCAACTGAAGGGTCGATTTACAGCAGTTTGTGCTGCTCCAGAGTCCACTAAAAAATTTATTTCTGAGCTTCCCACCCGCATCTTTACTCAGGGTTCTGGGGGTAGGGTGGTCCGTGTCCCCTGTCACCCCTATTCCTGCTCCGCCATCGCCATCATAGAGGCACCCCCCTTTTCTTTCCTCTTTGGGCACTCATTTTTCCAGTGTCCCTCTTGTCGACACAAGGCACACTGGTTGCGACCCAGTCGTCTCTCCTGCGAGCCCGGACGTTCGCGTCCACGGCTCCTTCCTCCCCGGCCACTTCCCTTAGTGCTGGCCTGTACCGCTGTTACCATCAGTCTCACTTGCTTTCTCTCCTTCTCTATCTCTCTGACTATAAGCTCAGTTTGCAGTCTCTAAGATTTGTGCCATGGTCATGCTCATTAAATCCTCCTTTTTTTTTGTAACTTTCTCTTAATATCAGGGACTGCTCTGCTCGTAAAAATTCCCTTAATAATTGACTCAGTTGCCTGATCATCGGGGTCTGCATTAGTGTTCTGTCGAATGATGTCCCGAATACGCTGTAGAAAGGCCCCTGGGCTTTCTTTTAAATCCTGCATTACTTCATATGGCTTTGCCCAATTATTATGTTGGACAGCCGAGTGACGGAGTCCATCCAAAAGCAACTCCTTATAGGAAGTAAGGCGGGTCATATCCCCAGGATTATTTGGATCCCACCTGGGGTCTGCTCGGGGGACTTGTGCATCCGGGTCAGGGACATTGATACGACCCCGGTCGTACCGTCTCTGCGCCTCCTCCCTTGCCTTGGACACAACCCGTTGTCTTTCAACCTCAGACAATAGGGTTCGCAGGAGGACGTTACAATCATCCCAGTCCGGCTTGTGGCTGCTAAGACATCCCTCAAAAACTGAAATAAACCTACTTGGGTTGGTGGAAAACTCCCCTGCCTGTGCTTTGAAAGCAGCCAAATCCACAGGGTTAAATGGCACATGAGTATAAACCTGCATAGTCATGGCCGGATGCCTGTCCGATCCAGACCGGGCGACTTCAGTTTCGGTGATTAAGGGGTATAAGCCAACCGTTGGGGACTTACATGGTGTGGGTGTAGGGGCCGAAGGGGACACCGGCTCTGCCATTACAGTGGGGGTGGGGGTCTGGGGACTAACATTAGCTGCTACCGAACCAGTCGGAGTCAGATTACATTGCTGTAAAATAGCTGGTCGAGTACATAAAGCCAGAAACAAATGCGCATACATATGTTCATTCCATTTCCTTGTTCCCTGACAGAACAGGAGTAACTGGAGGATCGTGTTGTAATTAATTGACCCTCTTGGTGGCCACCACTCCTGGTCCTCTAGTTGATATTGAGGCCAGTCAACTGTACAGAATCGTTTTAATTGACTCTTAGTCATCGGATCCGCACCAAATACCTTCCAGTTTGCTAGAATGCATTCTAGGGGTACACCATGCCCTACCCCCTGAGCTCTGTCCCTGTCCCATACCTACAGGGTAACTCTGGGCATCCCCAGGTTCCAACAGAGCATACAATCCGGATTTCAAAAGGTTCCTACCTTACCCAAGGGACCGGTTCCCCACCGTTGCCCGCAGCTGCTCCTCCCCTATGTCCAAGGGACCAGTTCCTCACCGTCACCCACAGCTGCTTCTCCACTATATGAGTGCGTTGCACCGTTGTGCCCTCCGGGATCGATCAAATCGCGTCTCCTCCGAGGCCCCCGATGAACTCACCGGTGCGCGCTGGGCGTCGGTTCTCGCCGCAAACCTTGACCTCCAGGAGGAGTCCGGGCAAGGCTAAATAGTGGCCTCGTAGCCCACCCAGGGACGCCAAAAGCTGTTGCCGGCACCCAGTGCCAGAGGCGAACAACAGCAAGGTTCGTTGCCCGGTGTGTGTCACCCAATAATCACAACGGGGTGGAGAAGCAGAAAAGTTTATTTGCAGCTGCAAACAAGGTACAGGGAGAATAGAATCTCAAATCCTGCACACAGAGCAGGAAGTTACACAGGCTTTTATACATCCTTTCTTCAGCATACTTGTCCAATAGCAAGCTGCCCTAAGTATCCATATAGCCAGCCAATCCAGTTACCAGTTAGTTCCCTGGTTCTCTGTACCATCTGTCAAACAATACATAAAGCTGCTTTATTCAGCATTGTTCTTCCATATCTGCCCTGTTTGGCCTTGTTTAGTTTGAGGCAGTCTGACTTTGCAACATATTGTTGCAGATCCTCAGCATAACTGCTGTGAGTGCCTCCTGGCGGGGGGGGCCAAGGACACTTGGGCCTAGTACGCATAACTGGTGCGAGTGCCTCCTGGCGGGGGGGCGGGAGGGGACACTTGGGCCATAAGCGAGGGGGCTTCATCGACACTCGTGGTCTTCCATCCCCTCGAGTTACCTAGTGGCCATGCCCCAGTGTCCCCAACAAGGTCCCATTCAAAATCTGGTTGGAGGAGAAGGTGCTTCTGCCCATCTTATAACTTTTAGCCCAGTGGTTAGGGCACTCACCCAGATTGTGGGAGACCCAGGTTCAATTCCCTCTCCTGTCTGATGGGGAGAAAGGACTCAAACAGAGGTCTCCTACCTCAGGAGTGTGCCCTAACTACTGAGCTATAGGACACTCCAAGGTGAGACTCCCTCAGTCTCTCCTCTTGAAGGTGATGTGCTTTGGATAAATGCTTAAGGTGTCATTGGGCCAGAGAGAGGAAGTAAGAATGATTCTATAGTCTAGAGGTTAGGACACCCATGTGGGAGGCAGGAGGCCCACATGCTGGTTAATCTACTCCAGTGACTAATTGTTTATAAAAAGTAAACAGCTCCCACAGTAGAGATGGAGGGAGCCCCTCCCATTAGAATAGCCCATAGCAGTTAGAGCACTCTTCTGCATGGAAACCTGTGTTCAAATCCTTCCTCCCCATCAGGGGAATTGAACCTGAGTCTCCCAGCTGAGTACTCTAACCACTGGCTCCTTTTCCTTCCTGTATTTTGTGTGGAGTGCTGCAGGTGCCCAACTCAATCCCACAAGAAATGACTGAGGCAAGGAGCTCCTGACTCTAGATTGCAAGCAAAGCTAGATGCCTAAATCCCTGAGAGGGGGATTGTTATGATCTCCCATTGGCTAGCTGAGGCAGCTCCCTGTCTAGTGTGGATCACATTGTACAGTGCATCTCTCCCTGCATTCATTGAATAGGAAACCTAGGCAGCTAACTCAGCACTTGGCCCTCACTTTGTTCCTGTGATTTTCCAGGCACCTCAAAGTTAAGCATTTTGATGCTCAGCATTGCAATGCCTAAGTCCCTTTGTGGCTCTGGGCCCCTGTGTTCTGAAAAAGGGAGCGAATAGTACATCACAAGGGTGCTGTGAAGATCTATGCATTAAAAGACTGTAAAGTGCTTTGAAAGCTACTGATGAAAAAGTGCTATAAAAGAGCTAGGTGATGTTATCTGCTGCTGCCTTCTGGTCCTGGAGTGAAGTCCTGGCAGAACTCCCATATACATCCAGTGGGACCAAGATTTCACCCCTGGGTTTTAACCTCAAGACCTCTCATTATTCATGAACTTAAAAGTATACAGAAAGATCTCTCTATTTGCAGGAATAAAAGTCCAAATGTCTCAGAGGGAAGCATGCTATCGATTTTAGGTGCAGAACAGATTGTTTCAAATTTAATTAACAGAATTAATATTAAATATTTTTAGGAAGCTAATTAAAAAAAACCCCACGCACACAGTCCCCTGAACCATTATTAACGCAAACACAATAGTACCAAGACTCTGAAAGCACAAGGAATTGAAACTGACTGGTCCACTCTAGTTTCATTTCAGAGTAGCAGCCGTGTTAGTCTGTATTCGCAAAAAGAACAGGAGGACTTGTGGCACCTTAGAGACTAACCAATTTATTTGAGCATAAGCTTTCGAGAGCTACAGCAGTCTCTAAGGTGCCACAAGTCCTCCTTTTCTAGTTTCATTGTTTAGGATGAGTGAGATTCACTCAAACAGGGCAAATGGTGAATTGGATTTTTTTTTTTCATTTTTATATTGAAGATGTTGCAAATTAAGTGTCTTTAAAATCTGATTTTAATCTTAAGAGCAGAGCCAACTCTTGTGGTTTTTGTGTGTATGCCAGTCTCACACTATATGGTATTCTTAAAGCCCTGGCTCCTGGAGCCAAGTGTTTGAGATAGCTTCAGCTTTCATAAGCACATACACACATGCAAAATTCTAGCCCTTCTGACTGTGAAGAAAAGTTTGAAAATTTGACCCCTAATGGCTCTGAACCAGAAAGCACATAAAAAGTACCCAGAATATTTTAAAGACTTTTGATTTTTTGGGGGAGGAGCCTGCCATAATTTTGAATACTTGGGACTGGTAATGCTGTTTTAAGCATGCCCCTTAAAACACATAACTACACCCTTCAGCAGGAATACTGCCCCCTTCTAATCTATGGCACTCAACATCTTTCACACTGAGCCACGCAACTTTCCCCACTCCCACCCTGAGAAACCCAATTAGCCATTTAGTGATGGGTAAAAGCATGACAACGTTTAAGTGACTTGTGCCCCTGCAAAAACAAAAACAAAACCCCAAACCACAGAAAACAATCCCCAACCAACACCACACCACACACAGAGGAAGTTAGTGGTAGAACCAGAAATAGAACCCAGGAGTCCTGACTCTTTAGGCCCCAGCTCTAATCACTAGACAGCACTGTTTTATCAGACTATTGATGGTTTTAATCTCATGGAGACTGTTAGCACTGACATGTTTGATCTGTCGTTTACAGCGATGGAACAGTTCCCTTTGGTGTGGCACTGGTGGCTAGCACTTGGTAAGCATTCAGATCATTTCCAGGTGGGCTCCCTTTATTTCCTCTTCCCAATACAGCTGTTAAAGGGGCACAGGTAAGGGTGCGGGCCCTACAACTATAACAAAGCTAAGATAGTTTGAATAGTCTAGAAGCAACCGCTTTGATTCAACCACAAGCAATTTTTAAAACAACTGAAGCACACCAGCTGGCCTCTAGCCCTGGGAGTTTGGTTTTTAAGTTAGTGATGGAGGAGGATGCAGTATCAGATATTGACAGTGCATTTCAAATACCCTTTTGCCTATTTCTTCCAGGCAGTGGCCTCTTTATCATGATTTTCAGTGGACAACTTGTGACCCACTTTGCTTGCCCTGACTCCAGTGATCCCACTTTGGACAGCTACTGACATTCTTGAGAGATTCAAGATCAAGGTACTTTACTTCCTAGATCTCCAAACCTGAGCATTTCATCTGAGCAGTATTTATAGGGGCTGCAGTGAGTTCAAGTAGCCGGGCTAGAAAGAAGAAACGTACAATGCTTTCTGAGGAGTAACTATGCAACTGTGCACCACAAGCACTGAAGAGACCTAAATCCCATTTAGCCACCTCAAAATGACCCAGCATGGTTTGGCATGAATAAAAGCCATTAAGCTCCTTTCATTTGAGAGAGGAAGGTCAAAGAGAAGCTCATACTAGAGAAACGCGGACTATTCCTCTGTGGGTAAGCTGAAAGGTGTTGACAGTCTATTTGGTCAAGTTTCCCCCATGGACTGCTGTGCAGTTCTAGGCATTTGGAGTTTTGTAATTCCCTATTCTGCTGTTTAAAGTGCATGTTCAAATCCAATCCTGTGTCTCGTATTTAATAAGCACACTGATAATTTGATTCAAGAGTGTCACTAGAGCATATAAACTGTCACTTGTATTTTAGTCATGGTCTAGGGGCTAAGCCTGCTGTGCCTGTCCCTAAAGATCACTCCAAACAAGCAGCTGGTGTTCTAGCTACAAGCTTCTATTACTCCTGCTATGGGAGCAAAGGGTGCTTCCCCCCATGAAGTGCACGGATAAGATGTAAATACAGCTCTTGTCCTTCCAGGCAATAGGAACTAGCCTTGCAGGGTTTTTTAATTTTAAAAAGGAGCTACTGTTATGAGGTATTTTTGTTATTTGCAATGCATAGGGTGATAGTGATGTTCATGGATTTTAAGGCCAGAAGTGACCATTGTGGTCATCTAGTCTGATCTCCTTTACAACACAGGCGACAGAATTTCCCTGAGTTGATTCCTGTTTGAATGAGAGCAGATCTTTTAGAAAAACATCCAATCTTGATTTCAAAATTGTCAGAGATGGAGAATCCACCAATAGTTAATTACCCTCACTTCAAAGTTTGCACCTTATTGCTAGTCTGAATTTGTCTCGCTTCAGCTTCTAGCTATTGGATCTTATTACTCCTTCACTAGCTAGACTGAAGAGCTCTCTGTCATAGAATCATAGAATATCAGGGTTGGAAGGGACCTCAGGAGGTCATCTAGTCCAACCCCCTGCTCAAAAGCAGGACCAATCCCCAATTAAATCATTCCAGCTAGGGCTTTGTCAAGCCTGACCTTAAAAACTTCTAAGGAAGGAGATTCCACCACCTCCCTAGGCAACGCATTCCAGTGTTTCACCACCCTCCTAGTGAAAAAGTTTTTCCTAATATCCAACCTAAACCTCCCCCACTGCAACGTGAGACCATTACTCCTTGTCCTGTCCTCTTCTACCACTGAGAACAGTCTAGAACCATCCTCTCTGGAACCACCTCTCAGGTAGTTGAAAGCAGCTATCAAATCCCCCCTCATTCTTCTCTTCTGCAGACTAAACAATCCCAGTTCCCTCAGCCTCTCCTCATAAGTCATCAAATATTTGTTCCCCAAGCAGGTACTAACAAACTGATCAAAGTCACCCCTTAATCTTCTCTGTGTTGAGCTAAACACGCTGGATAACACAAGGAGCTCAATCCTTTAACCTCTCTTACGGCTCTTCTCTGAACACTCTCCAATTTAGCAACATCCTTCATGAATTGCGGACACCAGAACTGGACACAGGATTTTAGCAGTGATCGCACCAGTGCCAAATGCAGAAGTAATAGAACCTACTCAAGATTCCCCTCTTTACATTATGTTTGTAACATAACTGCCACACTGGATCAGAACATAGTTAGTCTAGTTTCTAAGAGAGGCGGGTATGAGACGGGAGTGCAGGCTGTAGTGCTGCTAATCCCAGCAGTGGATGACCTGGTGTTAGAAGTATCAGATCCTGAGCAACGAGAACTTCCATTCTGCAGCTTGCCAGGATGGCAGCACAAAGATGGGACTCACTGGACTACTTAAACTGGCATCTCCTTCTCCCTGCCATAGCTTGTCAGGAACCAGCATGCCAAATGAGAAATACAAGGCACGTAAGAGGGGAGGATGTAACAATGTGATAGGAGGGTTACCATTTGTCCCAGGCCTTACAGTTCATATCTGAGATCTCACTGAGGGGAAGAAAAAATAAAGTTCACTTGTGGGAAGGCAGAAGCCCATGTCATATTTTTAAAGCGAGCTTTGCACACATTTGCCGAGAAGTAACCAACGGCAGTGACTATCAATGCCTGTCTGTGTTGATCATGCCTCCTTGACTTTTGTTGTGGCATGTGTGAATGAGCTGTAATGCAACCCTGTAAAAGAGTTGGAATACAAACATTTGGAGGCAACGGCATGACATTTTGAAGCAGTACATAGTAAAATACTCGTGATAGTTTGTACTACTGTCTGACTGAAGTGCAGCAGAGGAACTAGATCTTATTACACAGCAAAAACCCAGTTGATGGAAAAATACCCCAGGGAGAACACAGTCTCTGAAAATTATAGCATTTATTCTGAACAATTATTGACATTTCAGTGGCCCATTTCACAATTCTTGCTCTTGGATGACAGGCTTGCAACACAATGTGAAGTGCCTTTATTTCAGCCACAATTGCCTCAATATCAAACTACAGATGTAAGTTTCCCTAAGGACTGTACATGACAATACTGGGGTTAGGATACAATCTAGGACAATACTCCACATCCAGAGGAGTCCTTCATGGGAAGAAGCCACAGAAAGACAGAAAAATGGAGGCTTCCTCACTTAAAGCTCACTCTGGGGCAGGAAAACTTTACAGTAAGGGACGCATTAGCATCTTGTTGGGAGTCCCAGTGCCCTCCAACTTGGGTGACTACACACATCCAGAGCAGAGGGCTTCTTTTTGTGTCCTCCTTGACTGACTGATTTCACCAGCAGTCAGCTGGAAGTTGATTGGCTTTGCCTCTACCCTAATTTTTAGGATTCCAGGGACTGCACTTTAGCCAACCTTGACTTTCTATTGCAAAGCAATTAATTTTAGCCAATGTGAAAACAGGATCTATCTCCAAAAGCAGATATCTACTGTCTGCTCTTGAGTCACGTCAGTTACACACTTTAGCCTCAGATGTGATTGTTATTGTTTCAAGTGGGTAAAGTTGACAAATTTTAGAGATTCTTCCTCTTCAACAACTCTCTCCTGAAGACAGGATACATTGAAGCAAACGTGCATGAAAACAGTTGTATCGTCTCCAATGACGCCAGAACTGGCTGTGATTCAGCTCCCTCTTAAAACTCCTCTGGAAACAAAAGGGTGTATGATTGTCCATGGGAGCAGGATCACATGGTGAGGACCTGTTTAGATGAGATGAATGACTTCATGGAGGCCTCCACGGCAATTCGGTAGTCCTTCAGTGGGACCTGTGTGCAGGATGGAGCAGTGAGCTGCCCCTTACGAATAAGATCACACAGGGTCAGAATCATCCCAGTCAATCTGTCCTTGTCTGCATGGGAAAGACAGAAGAGAGTAATCCTGCCCCTTGCAGAGCTGAGGGTGAACAAGACCCACAATGCCACCCAGAGGAAATGAGACAACTGACAAAACAAACAAAAAGTGAGCCAGTCTTGGCTGCCTTGGCCACCTAGCAACACAACACAAGGGAGTGGAGTTCAGGTGCTAAGCTCCCTAGGACAGCAGCTCGGGATAGAGGCAAACGATCTCAATTTCTTCAGCAACTCCTTCCACCCTGTTCAACACATGCAGCAGCATTCACTGACTTCAGAGAGAAATGTTTCCAGTTTATATGGCTGGTATAAGGCAGATGGTCCCACAAGATTCCCTTGTACTGACTGCAGTGTTGCCAAATTGGACAATTGATTTTGTTCTGATTTGAGGGGAGATAGTCCCCTGTGACCTTTCTGACCTTTGGGGTTATGCTACAGGTAGGTAGCTAGCCTCCTGTTTGATGGCCTGCCCTGCTCTCTACACTCCTGTTTGATGGCCTGCCCTGCTCTCTACACTAGATGTTACCTGCCACTTGCACTGCAGCTTGGTCAGCAACCATCTGGCACACACTGATTTGAGCTTAAGGCTGTGCCTAGGTAGCTTCTGCCCCATCCACACAGCTTCAAAGCAGGAAGGGCCTGAAACACCTTAAATGCATAATGCCTGGCTTTTTTTAAATTGCAAGTGCTGAGCAATATCAGAGTGGAGCTGAGTAGATAGGCCTGGACCAGTCACAACCGTTTAAACTCTACATTGTAGTTTGTTGCGGTTTCCTGACCAAATGTACTAACAGGTGCTTCTGTCCCACTGCTGAGGCCAAGGGCAGATCACAGATTCTGTGGGTTACACATGGGCTGTAGCTGAGAGGCACAGCAGGGGAATGATACAGCTTGTGTCTCCCTGGATTAATGAAGGAAACTCTCCAGGTCAAAATTTGTCACCAGCCTTCACCCACTTGTGCTTTTTGATGTCTAGAAACCCAGCTAGCAAAATATTTATCTGCTCTTCAGATGCTAAGTTTGAGGGCTGCTTTGCCAGTATTTCCCCAGGAGGGCTTAAGCTAAGCTAAAAACTGGAGATTCTGCATGATGTTTTCTGTGCTTTGTGTTTCTAGGGCCTCCCTAAGAACTGGGACGAGAGAAGCATTATCTTGTTGTCCATGTTGGACAGGAAGCCAGGCACTCGAGTTCTAATTCCTGTTCTCACAATGACTTCTTCTGTGGCTTTGGACCAGTCGCTCCACCTCTGTGCCTCAGCCTACGCACCAACAGAAGCAGGGACAATGCTTACTTTCCTCGGGGGAAGGGGGGACCTTAAGAGAACACATTAATACTTTAATAGATTTCCTATGGACTACATCCCCACTGAAATGACCTTCAACTTACTCTGGGGTTGGTCTTTCTTCCATTGGGTCATCCAAAACCCACGCAGCTTTACATCCTTAAAGATGAATGCACTCTGTAGAAACAAGGTGAGACACACCAGGTATTCTTGGGGAAACTGTTTACATTGGGCATTCTTCAGTTAGCATATTCTGCTGCACTCAGGCCATGGGAAGAGACTGTCCTTGTACAGCTGCTACCACACTTTAAACGCTGTTGCAAGTCTGACACTCACGTTCCTGCTGCTATGAAGATCTGCAATTCTGCCTCCCTGCCAATGACTCTTGCTTTTAGAAGAGCCTTAATTTGGGGCAAATTCACTCACACAATGCAGATTTTTTTTCTTTTACACCCCTGCAGAATGTTAGTCCTCTTCACAGTACACTGGATAGTAAATAGGAGATTAAAAACCAAGGGTTGGTTCCCTCAGAAATGATCACATTCTTGCCAGAGTTGTGATAACTGCATTGCCCATACAGTGCCTCTTTTGTGGCAAAAGAGGATTTCAGGCTCTCTATCTGGCACTAAATTTAAAAACTCACGTTCATAAAGCGTTTTGTGTTAGCAACGAGACCCCACGACCAGTAGAGCTCTGAGAGGATACAGGACTAAGGTTAAGAACGTTGAAGATTGTTCTGTTGTTGCAAGAGACACCTTAGCTACTAACTCCAGGTCAGACCAAGGATTGACACTGGGAAGATCTGCCCTACAGGTGCACCTTAGAGTGCAGACAATTTTTGCAATGAGAATTTGCCTGGCAGATGCTAAATAGCTGCGTCAGTCACACACCAGGGCCAGTCTCCTCATAAACATTGCCATGAGTATTGCAGACATACACCCAAACCCTGTAAACCAGAAACAGGCCAGAACTAGCTCATTCCTGTCACATTCTCAACCAGTTAGAGACCATGGGGCATTGGTTCTGGTGCTCAAATGGCACAAGGAGGTAGTGTTGGAAGTCAAGTGCACACTTCATCCAGTCGCTTCTAATAGTAGCGATGCTGCTGCGTGGGAACTGAGGAGCTATAGGGAGTTAGGGGACAATATATAGATGTGGTGAAGCCAACCCCGTGGGGCAGCCAGTTGCTTGCAGTGGATGTTATGGATGGAAAATTTCGGTGCTGTGGAGTAAGGGCTATGTGATGTGAATACAGAGAACATGTCACAAGCATCTGTTACTTACCACAGGGACAGTCACAGGCTGTTTTGCCATCCCGCCATATGTAACCATGGTCCCTTTCTGTCTGTATGGAGAGTCAGGTGTCAGACAATTAATGATCTCTCCTAATAAGGGTCTTCAACCCGATCTGCTCTCCTCCTCCAATTCCGAACCCCTGCAGATACTGACGCCCTTACACAGGCGGCTCTTTCAATTACTTTGTTGAACAGCTACTTTGTTACTTGCTCAACCTGCTTTCTAGCTTCCCCTCCTTCTCACAAGAGCCATTAGCTGAAATGATCACCTAGAGTTAATGGACCCCTCCCACTGCAACAGCCCACCAAGACAATGAGCAAGATACTATAGGGATTCTGACTTCATAGCTGGATGTGACCTTCCACTCTTACTAGTCTTTAAAAGTCTATTACTGTGTGTCATTGGAGAGGAAACCTCACTAGAGTTGCTGTAAGGTCTTAGATTTCAGTTACCGCATCTTCCGAGAAACCTCCCCCGCCTGCATTTTTAACAAGTGACCCATGTAAGATAATGCTATTCATAGACTGTAAGGTCAGAAGGGGCCACTGTGATAATTTAATCTGCGCTCCTGCACAATGCAGGCCACAAAACCTCACCCACTCACTCCTGAAATAGACCTCTAACCCCTGGCTGAGTTACTGAAGTCCTCAGATCATTGTTTAAACACTTCAAGTTATAAATAACCCACCATTTACACTTCTTTAAATGTGCAAGTGACCCTGTGCTCCATCTGCAAAGGAAGGTGAAAACCCCCCAGGTTCTTTGCAAATCTGACCTGGGGGAAAATTCCTTCTGACCCCAAATATGGTGATCAGTTAGACCCTGAGCATGTGGGCAAGACCCACCAGGCAGATACCTGGGAAATAATTGTCTGTAGTAACTCTGAGCTCTCCGCATCTAGCGTCCCGTCTGGCCATTGGGGGGTTTTGCTACTGGTAGTCGCCTATGGGCCACATGCCATTGTAGGGAGTCCCATCATACTTATCCCCTCCATAAACTTATCAAGCTCAGTCTTGAAGCCAGTTAGGTTTTTGCCCCCACTGCTTCCTGGGAAGGCTGTTCCAGAACTTCACCCCTCCAATGGTTAGAAACCTTCACCTAATATTGAGCCTAAACTTGTTGATGGCTAGTTTATATCCACTTATTCAACTGGTCCTGACCGCTATCCCCAATCTGGACAAACCAGTTCTTTGAACATGTACATCTCTGAGTGCTAAACACAAGTCAAAGGAGGAAAAAAGCTGAACTTACTGTATGTGGCGCAGCATCTCAGTAGTACTTTTCCCTCCGACGCAATTCAGCGCTAACCGGGGTTTGGGGACTTTCTGGAAGAGTCAGCGTTTTATAGACAAAAAAGGCAGATTTAACTCTTGCCCGCCAAGCCAGATTTCTGTCCAGCAAGAAACACGGAGTAGTCCTATTTTGAATTCCAAGGTTACCTTCTCTTGGGGTCAGGACTCTGTCTGCTGAGGGAGGCAGGTTCACGTGTTTTAGCCCCAGAGTTTGCTCAAACCAAGGGCAGGTCCAGATATGTACCCAAAGCCAAATTTACCATCTGGGCACCGCAACAGAAATGAAAACCTGCCCAACACTGCTGGGGCAGCCTCCAGAATCACAGAGAGGAGTCCAATGGAAACAATTCCCTGGGAGAATGAAGGCCAGCCCCTACTAACTCTTCTGTCTGCATGTTAAACGGTGGTGTATATCAGAGCACGGTTTCTAGACATCAGCCATCTACATAGTCTCAGCTAGTCCAACTCTCTGTCAGTGCGGGATTTCCCCTGTGGCTACTGCATCATCTTCACCACTGCATTTCCACTCTGGTCACCTCAATTCCCCGTTATAGCGGAAACAGAAGCGGCTCAAACATGGACAGTGAAAGTAATCTGAGGTACAGAGACTTCTGTCTGCAGAGAGGCTGCGGCGCGGCACTGTTCAGTTTACAGAGGAAATAAATGAGAGAGACAGGAGAGGACATAAAACAGCAACAGGTGTAGGTGTTGTCAGACACTCCAATTTATCCTCAGAATAGAAGAGCAAGGGGACATGGAATCAAACTAAAAGGCAACTTTAAACATGATAAAAGTAAACCGTTTATTATTTTACACCTATGGAACTCACTGCCATAGAATATTATTGAGGCCAAAAGCCTAGCAGGTTTAATTGACATTTATATTGATTAATGAGAACACCCACTTACATAAGAAGATAAAGTAAGAATATAAACTCGGGATTTAGGGAATAAGGCCCTGATCCTCAAAAGATATTTATTCCCTTAGCTTCCATTGATTTCAATGGAAGTTAGGTGCCCAAATACCTTTGAGAATTTGGACCTAAAACAACTGTTCATCTGCCCAGGGGTTAGGAAAGAGCTTCTGCTAGGGAAGTTTACTCCATAGTTCTCCATAATAGGATTCTTGCACCTTTCCCTGCAGCATCTAGTTTTGGCCACTACATGAGACAGACCATGGTCTGCTCCAATATGGCTATACAGAGGTTCCTGTATTGTCTTTGGATCCTGAGAATTAGCTTCCTGCCTCCCTACTAGGATTCTTCTTTCTGGAGAGCTCAGCATTACAGTACCTTAAATAAGTCTTTCATCTCTGGCTTTCTCAGCATCTCTTCTGTGATGACATGGTCCGCACCAAGGGATGTCAGTCTGTCTACCACCTCTTGGAGATTGGGTCTGGGGAGGAAGGACAAAAAAGAGATTCACAGAAATAACTGGCATGTTTCCCAAGCCAAGATGGACAGACCTCTGCAGGGCCCTTTGACCAAGTCAGTCAGTTTCTATGGGCTCTGATCTGTAACTTGTGACCCAGGATGAGCAAACTGGGCTCAGCCCAAACTTTGGGGAAGATGTTCCCTTCCAAAAGCGAGCCTCTTTGGCGGGGGGGATTTATCTCCTCCTTCCCTCATCCTGTTATTAACTGACCATGCCACTCCTGCCTCTGTCCCCTAGTTTCCTCCACTGGCTTCCTCACCTTCTGTATCAGCTATGAACCTCTCAGCCTCACCTTCAAGACTCTACATGGTGCCATACAACCTCCCTCTCTGCCCTCATCCCAGCCTTCACTGTCTACCCTCCAGCCGCCTTCCTGAGAACTGCTTCTGGTGTCTCCTCCTCCCCCCTCTGATCTGTACCTTCTTTCATGCTGCCTCTTCTGCTTCCCACACACGGGTGCCTGGCTTCTCCTAAACGCTTTCTTCTGCAAAGCTTCCTACCCTGAACTCGGATGCCAGCTCCAGCTGTTCCTGCATAAGATCTGCTGGCCCCTGAACACTCACCCACAAGCTCCAAATGGGGCTTCTTGTCTGCTCAGAATAAGAGCCAATTACCAATCACAGAGCAGGTCGCTGCTTCCCAGCTCAGTGCCTATTTTACCACCACCAGCTGATGCTGCGCCACCAAACCAAACCCCACCCCACTTTCCTACTTCCAAGCAAGAGAAAGGGATGGGACCAGCAGCACTGTAAGAAAGGACAAGGCTTCTGAGCAGGCCACAAAGTGGGAGTAGGTAGAACTAGCTTCTCCGAGGAGCCACTAGGTCCCTCTTCCCTCTGCATCTAGTCTCTCCTTATCCCACATCCAGATCCACTAGAGGTTCCCCCCACCTAGCCCTTGGAACTGGCCAACCTTGGAGTTGAAAATCCCTCAGGACTAGCTAGTGTCATAGAATCATAGAAGATCAGGGTTGGAAGGGACCTCAGTTGGTCATCTAGTCCAACCCCATGCTCAAAGCAGGGCCAATCCCCATTTTTATTTATTTTGCCCCAGTTCCCTAAATGGCCCTCTCAAGGATTGAACTCACAACCCTGGGTTTAGCAGGCCAATGCTCAAACCACTGAGCTATCCCTCCCCTTCCTGTCAAGGGCTAGTCACTCCCTCTCCCAACAGGAATTTTAACACTCATCTTCGGAGTGGAGACATTGAATACATTCGCTAATCGCTGACTGGGCAGCCTCATTCAGAGCGGAAAGGGAAGCCCTGTTGTGAAGAACTCTATTGCTGGATTCAGCTACCTGAACAAACACCCTCTATTGCCCACTCAGACCTGAATGTAGCCTTTCTATCAACATGAGGTATCGCCCTGTTTTACAGCACAAGTTCTCGGCCTATTTAGGATTATTTGCAGACTGGAGACAAAAGCTGAGACGGTGATCCTGCTAACCTTTAACCTGCCTTCACCCTACCTCTTTCTATGGCGTAATTCCAGCAGCAGGGGTTTCCTCTTATAGAT